CTTGTGTTTTGGTTCTGATGGATGCCCACTATGATCTTTCCACCCCTCCTGGTTCTCACGAAGAGGAAACCAAATTTAGGGATCTAGTTTTGTGAGAAGTAACCAGGAAAGGAGTGGAGGATAAGCGAAAGGACAAAGGTCAACTTTAGAAAGCTGTTCTACCAGATCTTGCTCAGAAAACTATTCAGGTATCCAAAGACTGAGAATGAAGGGAGATAGGTGGAATCAGCAGAATGAAATAAATTAAAGTCTAATGATAAACAAACATGTAGGGGGCAAAGAAAAGAAAATAAAACAAAACTTCCTGTATTTCTTTTTAGCATAACTCAGGATTCATCTCCCATTCTCCTTGTCTGATTCCTATTTTAAAAAATGCAAAAAGTAAAATTCAATTTTTAGATGATCCTATATCTCAGATTTTTGAAGATTTTCCTCCTCTTTCAACCTCCCACTACTCCCCCTTATTAAGACTTGAGTCCTAAATAGTAACTAGGTAACAAGAAATGTGTCTCTGTTTATTTTAACATAGAATAAAGCTATAAAGCCAATCCATTATCTTCCTTTCCTTTGTTAAACTTCTTGTTTTGAGAAAGCAGATAGTTGGGTCACAGGAAGAAATTCTAATCCATGATTCTATGAAAAAAGAAAATATAAGAATTATTTCCCTAATTCAGTCATCTATCACCTACAGGGTGTCCAGTTCTTAAAAAGGACTTCACAGAAGAAAATTGAGTTTTCAAACCAAAATAAGATTTAAAAATATATATATCTTGATGTTCAGAATGTAATATAGAAAGGTAAACAAGAGGTTTCCCAACCTTAAAGCTTACTTAACTAAAAAGTTTACCTTTTTAAATGCCCAATGCTACAGTCTATGAAACCAAGGTGTGAAACTATTTTAATGAGTAAGAAAAGCTGTCATGCTGTCATGTTTCCTGACATTATACATCTGAGTTTTAAGGGCTGTAATGTTTGGACATAAATCGTAAAATTTTAAGTGTTTTCTGTTACATCTTTAAACCAACAAACTTTTTAAAGAAACCTTATCGATATGGAAAATTCTAAAGATTGTGTGTATTTCATGGATATGTTTTATCTTAAACTGTTTTGTGGTTGTTGGAGAATGTATTTTTTACCGTACATCAAAACTGGAATTTTGTCGTTTTTTATTTCTCTTCAAAAACACGGTTTCTTCTTACGTTCAAGCTCTAATATATATTTATGTATTCCTACATAAAAAGATATATATTTGAACACACACACATATATGAGCTTAAAATAACTATTTTACTGATGCTTCTTGAGATGACAGTGTTTTAAGAAGGGAAGTAAGTTCACATAAAATCTAAAGGTCTTTTTTTGGTTCAGTGTTTAGAAAATTCTTGGTAATTTAGAATCTTCCACAATGGAAAGTAAAGCATTCTGTCACAAAAGCAGGGAGGATGAGACACAAGGTCAAAGGGCGTTTTAGAAACAAACAGCTGGACCAGTTTATTTAAACAGATACAGGATTGGGGGAACTGACCTCTGTTTGACTTATAGTGGGAGGAGCAAGAATGTCATTTTATTACTTTGCCCAGAAGGAAAATGTTTTTGTATCTGAATTCACCCCAAAGCCAACTAAACACATGGCTTTGCTGTATGTAGCATAATTCCAAAGAGAGTACATAAGATAGTCTAGGATAATGACAAAACACACTAAAGGGAATCAAATGTTGAGATGTTTTTAAGATTGAAAAGGTGATGTTGTTTTAAAAAATATTTTGTTATTTACTTAGTTATTTTCAGATAAAGATATCCACTGTGACCCCAGATAATAATATAAGGGTTTCATGTAAGTATAGGAATTATACTTCAGTAACATTCTGAGAGCTTATTATGTCCGATGTGTATTGATGATCTTCATGATATTGAAAAAAATTTGTTTTAAATTAAGGTTTTCAAAACTGAGAGGTTCCAAGTATACTTACTAATGCAGTCAAATAGTTCAGACAAAGTGATTAGGTGTTCTTTTAAATTTTTACTTTATTTAATGAAAGGATTTTTATTTTATTTAATGAAAGGATTCCCACCTTTATATCTACATATCCTATGGGTAGCCTACATCTGTGTTGTCAATAACAACAAATAGTTATTGCCACCAAAAGAGAAGCAAATAGCACCTAGCATCTGTGGGCCCTTAGGTAAGAGGCTGTGGTGAGGTATTTGCTCTCTACACGGGGACCAGAGCAGTTCTGGAATAACTGCATGTCGTGTTGTCCACTGAAGACCTTCAGAGGGACACAGACATATCTCAGCATACTGAGCAGAGTGGCCCAAGTGCGTGGACTCCAAATCCTAGAAGAACTCATATTCTTGAAGGAACTTGTTAAGAATCATGGATGTTTAACCCAGGAAGAAGAGGGGAGAAGCCTATGGGGCATGATGGCAATAGTTTAAATATTTGAAAGGTTATCCTGAAGAAGGGAGGTTAGAATTGTTTCAATTACCCCAAGGAGTTGTGCTGGTGAAAGGATTTTAGATCAAGTAAGGCAGAACCTTCTAAACGTTGCCTTGTCCATAGATGGAGTGGGCTCTCAGGTAAGGTGTCGAGTGCTGTGTATTAGAAACAGCCCAGCAGAGGCTACCCATCTATGTGGGGGGCTTATAAGAGAGGAGATTCATGTCAGTGACCAAGCTAGGCAACGGTTAAAGCCCTTTCTAAACCTGAGGTGTGATTTTTCTATGAGTCCATGGGTTTAATAGTCATGGATTCAAACCTGATTTGGTTATTATGAACCGATCTTTGGAAATCTGAATGTATAGGTGTGAAGGAGGCAAGCTTTGGAATACAGATAACTCAAGTCACTGATCTTCTTATGCGTAGTCTTATCTTTGTCTGTATACAAAGAATACAGTCATCAAAATCCCCAATCTACAAAATGTTCAGTCATGCTTATTCCCAGACTCAACAGTAGGGTTGTTGCCAGTGGTGACTGTCTCAAAACCAGTTCATTTTTAGATATCTATTTAGTCTGGAATATTCTAGATGGGTGGCACAGTAGTGGCCATGCTCTGGTCAGTACGTTAGCGAGGGGGTGTTTGCAATGCTTTGCCAGCTGTGTGTCATCCAGCAAATTATTAACATCTCTTGGGTAACATGTGACCTCAAATAAGTCACTTAATTTTTCTGTGCCTTGGCTTCTCATCTATTAAAGAGCACTCTTCCTATTTTTAGATAAATAGTACAAATCATATCCATAAAATATTATGTTTTTAAAAGGACTTTAATAAAGAGTTATCAGACAGAATTCCTCTGGTAGAAGAGCCTGCAGATTATGCACAGTACCGTAGATAAAGAGCTGTTTTTCGATATCTTACCTATGTTAGTTACTATGAAAATTACTTTTAGTATATGCAGAATATTAATATTAAATAATTTTCTAATTGGTCATGCAGTGAAGGCAGCTAATGAAAAAGCAGATTTTTTTTTCATTTTAATTGGTTATTTCACGTGGTGTTTGTGCTACACCTGTGCTTATAATGAGAATGGAGAATTAATCTAACCTTCTGCTCACATGATTCCAATTTTCATGGTTTATACAAGATAATGATAACCTGATTTGCAACACAATTTGTTGTAGATCTGGGTTTTAAGTATTTTTATTAGCAGTTCAGGGACTTCATATATAAGAACTGATATAATATATATTGCCAATAAGAGCTAGCACCGACAATGTCCTTTTAGTTAGATTACAGTTTCATTATTTATTTTAATTACTTCTCAGATAATGAAAGAACATAAGGATATAGAATATTGAGAATCTTAAAATGTCATGAAGTATGCATTTTTATTTTAAAAACCTGTCCCTGTCTGTTTAATGGTTGGTTTTTAGGAACTATTTTCCTTCCTGAAATGGGCAGACTTACAAACTAGAATTCATAATGGACTGTGGATCCTTTAATTATTAATAGTGCATTATTAAACTTTTCATTGTATTTTTTTATGTGCTGTTCATGTTCAATATATTCAAATCTGAGTTGAGAACTAAAAGCAATTTACTATTGCAGAATCTACTATGTCCTGTTCCTTTTCTGTATTCGATATGTAATTCTTAGTATTACGCAGTACAGATGGATCTTAAGACGTAGCAATTGCATGAGCATGACTTTGGAAAGCTTGTATTAACGACTTCTTAAATTTTTTAGTGGCTAGCTACTTTTTGAGGGGCTACAAAAATTGTAAAAAAAATCTTGTTAAGACACTTAAGTGACTTAAATGTCTTAATAAGATGTTTATTATAAATTTTGAGGACTAGCTGGAGAAAGGAAGATGATAAGTTCAATTACTGTATAGCTGTGACCTCGTCTTGACCTCAGACTTTGCATAAAGAGAAAAAAAAAAGCCACCCCACGAAATCTCTACAAGGAATGCATTTCTCTGAAGTCCCCAGCAGTGTGAGTTAGTGGTGATAAACTCCAGACATTCTCTCATTTGATGGTGTGCTGCCATCCCAGTTCATTATCTTAATAGTGGGCATTAAAATAGAATTAGGTTTGCAAGAGGTAGGGAAGGTTTTGATAAAAATTGTGAAAAAGAGTCAGAGAACATAAGATTGAAATGTCACTAATTAGGAGAGGTAACAGATACCCTTATGAACGTCTCGCTCTCTACACCAAATTTCCCCCCTTGCAGTGGAAGAGAGTGGTGGCTAGTATTATTTCCTGAAAACTCTGCTAATTCCCCCATGAAAAGATGAAATGGAAGTGTCCAACTGTGGTAAAATGGGCAGACATAAATCAACTCAGAAACCCCAAGCCTGTGTCCTCAAAGGTCACTGGGGGTGACAGGTTTTGCAGCATGTGAAGCTGCACATAGAGCGGTGGAGAGAAACAAGGCAGTCACATTTTGCCAAGATCCAGCTTTGCTCTCGCTGTGATTCATCTTCTCCTCTTCTTCCACCTCCCTCACCAATTTCTTTTTTAAGGAATAATAATTTGCTCTACTTTCTTGGTTACAGGTTTATTAATGCCCGGAGAAGAATAGTGCAGCCCATGATAGACCAGTCCAACCGAGCAGGCAAGTCCCCCATAGTGACTGTATTCAAGTCACGCAAGCGAAAACCATCCTCAAGCCATTCACCGGGAGGTCCGCTACCTGGTAAATAAACTGGGAGTGAGTGCTGGGAGCGCCTGGCAATGAAAATTAAACCAGTTTTGTTTCATAACAACACTAATCAATTTAACATCATTATAAAACGTTTGGAGAAGGTGGGAAGAAAAGCCAACCGAGAAATGTAAC